TCAAGGCAAATGCACTCCCTGCCCCAACCCCTTGGCAGCATTTCAAAGCGCCTGCGCTTATTCAGGGCTTGCACTTGAAACACACGCGCTTACTCAGCGCTGTGCGTGACAACCGACGACAACGTGCAACCGCAAATTTTCTTTGCGCGCGCTTCTCCAGCGCGTCCAGCTCACTGCCACCGCCGCCCGCCTGGCAGGGGCTGCCCCAGAACTCGGAAGTTGCTAATTTAATCCCAATGACACGCCCCAGCCTAATTTAAAAAAAAAAACAAATCACCAAACAAACCTCCCCCCAAGATTATTTTTTCAGATCCTCATCATCGCCAGGATGGCCAGGACGATCGCCTCCGCTTGTCCGGCTGATCGTCACTGTCGCTGCCGCTGCTCCGCCGCCGCCGGTTGTCAGCGCCGCTCCGCATCCAGATCCCTCTGTCGCCTCCGCCGCCACCGCCAGAGCCAGCCGTGCCACGAGGTCTAGCTTTGCCACCGTCAGATCCACCACCCGCGCCGCCCGCCTTGGCCTTGGCACCTCCGCCCGCCTTTGACGTAACGCCCTTTTCACCGGCGCTGCCGCCCTTTGCAGATCCACCGCCGTCGCCCTTAGGCTTAGCCTTTGCCGATCCACCATCACCCTTTGCAGATCCGCCGCCATCGCCCTTAGCCTTTGCAGATCCACCGCCGTCGCCCTTACCACCGCCGTCGCCGCCGTCGCCCTTAGGCTTAGCCTTTGCAGATCCACCACCGTCGCCCTTCGCACCGCCAGCACCTGCCTTCGCAGGTCCACCGCCGCCATCGCCCTTGGCCTTTGCCACCAGGACCACAGCCGATCCACCGCCAGCGCCCTTAGACCCGCCGCCACCGTCGGCCTTGGCTGACCCACCGCCAGCCTTAGCAGATCCGCCATCGCCACCGCCAGCACCCGCCTTCGCAGATCCACCACCAGCGCCCTCAGTAGATCCGCCGCCACCGCTGCCGCCCTTGACTGATCCACCACCGTCGCCCTTCGCAGATCCACCGCCGCCAACGCCCTTGGAAGACGATCCACCGCCAGGGCCGGCGTCCACTGCAGATCCACCTCCGCCTTTGCCATCTCCAGGCACAGCGCCGCCAGGGAGGCCGAGAGCTGCCTTGATCTCGCCGACAGAGGTGTGGAGCTCACCGACGCGACCCCAGAGGGCCGCGACATCCCTGCCCGCGCCCAGCCGCACTGTCGACAGCTGCGAGTGCAAGGCCGCGAGCCTTTCAGATTGCGCATCCTGCCCGCGCCGCAGATCGTTGACTATGCCCCTGAAGTCCTCGATCTGTGCCGCGAACGCCCGCTCCACAAGGCGCTTGATTTGCGCCTTGCCGGGGCCCTTGGCATCGGCGGCGGCGGCCACCATTGGCGACACCGAGCTCAGTCTGCCGACAAAGCCCGAAGCCTTCGCCGCTGCAGGTCCAGCAGCTGGAGCGCCAGGTTCAGGAGCGCCAGGTCCAGGAGTGTCAGGTGGAGGAGCGCCGCCGAGAGGAGCGGCAGGAGCAGCGCCAGGGTCAGGAACATCACCACCAGCTGGATCAGGGACATCAAGTGGAGGACCAGGTGGAGGACCAGGTGGAGGAACAGGTGGAGGAACAGGAGGAGGTGGAGGACCAGGTGGAGGACCAGGCGGCGGTGCCTTCCACGGCACTGTCCCGTCCTTCGCCGGCCTCGGCGAGGCCATGGCTTGCAGACTCGCCAAGGAAAGTACCAAGCTACGACTAGTGCTAGGTTGTGTATGCCTAATCCATGTTGTCCAGTTGCCAGCCCAGTCAAGTTGCAGCGCATGTCCAATCATTGTGTCCAGTCATGTTGCATGTCCAGTGTCCATACCAGCTGTGTGCCTGGGCCGGAAATGAAAGGCGGCTCAAAATCAATGTTTCCCTGTCAAAGTTGGGGGCATCTCAAAAGGCCATGACGTGCTGCTTATTCAGCAGACACGTGCTTCTCCAGCACACATTTAATTTGCGAAATCGACATGATGCGCTGCTTATTCAGCAGGCATGTGCTTGTCCAGCACACATTTAATTTGCGAAATCGACATGATGCGTTGCTTATTCAGCAGGCATGTGCTTCTCCAGCACGAAACTAGAAAGTGAGGCACTTCTGCAAAATGCTCAAGCAGTAACAACTGAAGCAAGCCACCCATGATGTTGTGTTCTTGCTTCCGCTGGTCATTGTTGCTGTTGCGTTGTTGTGGTCCTGTTGTTGTTGTTGTTGTTGTTGTTGTTGTTGTTGTTGTTGTTGTTGTTGTTGTTGTTGTTGTTGTTGTTGCTACTGCTGATGACGCTGCTCTTCGTCGTCGTCTTATTATTATTCTTATTTGTCTTCTTTTGTTTTCTGATTTTTCTTGTTGTTGTTGTTCTTGTTACTGTTGGTTGTTGTTGTTGTTTGTTGCTGCTGCTGCTGTTGTGCTGTTGTTGTTGTTGTTGTTGTTGTTGTCGTCCGTCGTCGTCGTCGTCGTCGTCGTCGTCGTCGTCGTCGTCGTCGTCGTCGTCGTTCGTCGTCGTCGTCGTCGTCGTCGTCGTCGTCGTCGTCGTCCGTCGTCGTCGTCGTCGTCGTCGTCGTCGTCGTCGTCGTCGTCGTCGTCGTCGTCGTCGTCGTCGTCGTCGTCGTGGGTTGTTGGTTGGTGTGGTTGGTTGGTTGGTGTGGTGTTGGTTTGGTTTGGTTGGTTGGTTGGTTGGTTGGTTGGTTGGTTGGTTGGTTGGTTGGTTGGTTGGTTGGTGGGTGGGTGGGTGGGTGGGTGGGTGGGTGGGTGGGTGGTGGTGGTGGTTGTTGTTGTTGTTGCTTCTGTTCCTATTTGTCTTTCTGCGCCCTTTCTTCCCGCTCCTGCTGTTGCCAGATTTCCTCAGTTGTTGTTTGTCGGCTGCGATGTCGCTGGTAACTTGGCTGCGCCTGCTGTTTGTTGTAGTTGCTGTCGCCCCTGCCGCCAAGCAGCGCCAAGGCAGCGCGTCGGCCGCGCCGGCCACAGCACGCGCGCTGCGCCTGCAAGGCGGGGCAATCTGAACACAAGGAACTCCTGAGAAAGAACTCCTGAGAAAGAACTCCTGTGACTACATTTTCAAATTGTTACTGTTACCGAGCTGCTTTTTCAGCAGTGTCGTGCTTCTGCAGCATTTTGTAAACCACACTGCAAGCGCGTGGCCATTCTATTTATTCCACTTGGCGGCGGCACGGGTCAGTCCCTACCTTGCACAGCCACAGTCAGGAGAGCCATCGTTGAGCTGTCGTCTTTTAATGAATTATATGAGTGAGGGGCGCTATTAACCGCTATTTTCCTCTTGGCAACCCCCTCCTGTGGCTAAGCTAAGCTAAACTAAGGCAGCGCGCCTGTTGCCCGCAAGCAACTTTCTAGCACAGCCTCCATTAGGGGCACCGGAACCGCGTTCCCGGCAATCTTGCCCAAAGATGCCTCAGAGATCACGTTCTCAGGAAGGCGAGCGCGGCTGACGCCCATCAACCCCAGCAGCTCGGTGCGATTCGTCCACCTGCCCAAGCTGCTCAGCCAAAAGCCTTGGCCTTTGCCTCGCGAGGCAGTCACGCACGGGCAAATATCCTTCATGAAGCTCGGGCCACGACCCTGGGAGGGGCTCAAGTCGATCACGTACAGATCCTTCTGTGGGTCACCGCCTCTCTGGCGAATGGTCTTGAGCGCTCCGTCCAAGTTCTTGCGGGCCCCACGGGGCAATTTGTCCAACTCCGAGGCGGCCCCGCGCAAGCTCAAGTTAATGTACTTCGAGAGCGGCTGCGTTGGTCTTTCCTGGGGCCACACCATGGGCCGCTTCTGAATGGACCTCTTGATCGCCACCACGAAAACTCGCTCTCGGTTTTGAGGAACACCTGCGTGGACCCTGGCATTCAGCACCTTCCAGCTGACGTCGTACCTGCGAGCAAGAACAACAAAAATAAGCGAAATGAACTATTATCAATTGAAAAAGAACGACGAACGCAACCTTGAAATAGCGCCGTTGTTGCCGTGGTGCGCTGGCTGGCCAGCTGAGTCCTTCAGGCCGCTCAGCACCAGCAGGATCGATTCCAGAACAGGTTTGTGAAATCGAAGCAAGCCAAGTACGTTTTCAAGTAGGGCTATGCCTGGAAGGCGCTTGACAACGTAGTGTAAGATGGCATACAGCGGCAATGACCGATGGTCATCTAGCCCTAAGAGGCTTCCTGCTGCGCTGTAGGGCTGGCAGGGAAAGCCAGCAAAAAACACATCCACCGACGGGGCGCCGTTGATGAACTCAGGGAGGGTGCAATCTTCGAAGAAGTGGTGGTGGCTGTGTGTGTGTGACAACAGGGTCCGCACCGCGCTGTCGTTGTCGCTGCAGAAGCACAAAGTGTGCGGGACCTTCAGATTCTCCAAGGCGAAAACATCCGACCCCCACCCAGAGCAGCAGCTTCCAACCCGCAAGCCTTTGTGGGGAGAGGCGCACACCCTCACCGGCGGCAGGCTGATCTTAGCTGTTTCCTGCAGCGCCTTCCTCATCGTCTCGTTGGCGTCATGGCTGTCATCCCGTCGTGTGGCCTTGCCGGCCGGTCGCTTGAGAACAGGTGTTGCCGCAGTTGCCGTTGGCTTCGGCTTCGGCTTCGCCCTTGCCTTTGCCTTGTCAATGATCTGCTTCACCTTGCTGACAACCTTTGGCGCAGCCCTCGCCCTCGCCTTCTTCGCCGCAGGCGGGGCCCTGAAGCCCATAATGCGGCCTCCCTCTTCGTCATCAGAATCCATGGCTGGCCAACTCCCAACACGCTGGAGCCTTGCGCGCAACATGAATCTGTAATTTTCAAGTGTGGTGCGTCGTCGTGGCCCAACTGCCTTCACATTGACATGTGAGCATTGAAGGATCAAGCTTTGGCAGTAATTGACAGCGCCCAGGTTTTTTCAACTCCAACGCGCACGACTGGGTGTCTGAAATGTCAAATCTCGGCGTTGCCGCCAACAAAACCTGAACTGGCAATTGACCCAACTTCAATTGCAGGGCACCCCTCACTCAGATGATTTGCCCATCAGCTTCGCCAAGAGCGCCTGGCGAGCAGTCTCAGCGGCGCTGGCGTTGGCCGACGAAGTCGGTCGGCCACCTTTCTTCGGCTTCTTGGGCTCTGGCTCGCCGCCCGTCTCCTCAGTCTTGGCCTCCTTGTCGTCCTCGCCCTCTTCTGCCTTCTTGGCTCGCTTCTTGGCCTCTGGCTTCGTCTTCTTCTGGTTCTTTGACGTGCCGTCAGATGACGACTCAGAGAGCAACTTTGCCAGGGTGGGCTCGTAGACTTCCGGGACGCTCTCCGTCTGCATGGCCTTCCACAAGCGTCGTTTCACCTGAGCAGTGAGGGCCTCCTTGTGGGTTTCGCTCAAGCAGATTGACACCAGCGGAATCTTGGCCTTGATGCACTCCATGGCCATGCAGTGATCCGTCTCGTTGCCGCGCACCACCACCATGGGGCGAAAGCTGTGCAAAAGTTCGCTGAACAGCACAGGCGGGCTATAATGCCAGAAGACTGGCTCTGAGTCGTCAGGGAAGCTTGGCTTCGTAGCTTGGGCAGCAGTTGCCTCCACCGCTCCCCCCACCAGGACCTTGTGCTCCTTGGTGAAAATATCCTTCTTGACCTTGGGCTGCTCCTTCCAGCAGTTTTCGTCGGTCCATGCCAGCGACTGAATTGGCCCAATGACGGACCCCATCGTCGTTGTGCCTGGAAAGTGTTTCCGCGGGCGCCGCTCCATGGCTAAGCCTGTCCTCGTGAAGGCGTAGAGTGACTCTGTGCAGGTCACAAACCCGCGAACGCGTTCTCTTCTCTCTCCTACACTTTCTTCGTCATATACTACCGTAAAGGCTTGCTTCACCTTGGTGATCGACTCCCCGGAGATCTTTGTGAAGCTGCCCTGGATGGAGCCATCGTTTCCATGCCTTCCGCCGTCCAGCACCATGATGATGTCGCCGTCGCGGAGCTCCTCCTGCGCCAACGGAATTAATAATTAGCTACTATCAAACGTTTTCCTGCAATGTTCTTTCCAATCCTGTCCTGCTGATCGATGTCATCGCCCCCCTGGTCACGGGCCTTGATGAAGGCCTGGGCCATTCGCTTCAGGTGTTGGGCACGGAAGGGCGGCAGCCTCACGTCTGCGTTGCTGCTCGCCTCCCCTGCTGTTTTCGAGTCATATAGCAGCAGCGCTGGCCCATTTATTTCAGCCAGCACGCTGTTCTCCTTCAGCTCTGCGGCAAGGGCGCTATTGGTCATGCTGGCTGCTCCTCGGTCGACGATGAACTTGCAAAACTGATCGATCTTGGTGTTCATAAACTCGAACCAGGCCTCCAGCTGCCCGTCATCCTGATTCGCCTGCTCGGGTGTGATCAGCTCAGTCAGCGAAACCTCCATGCCGCCGACGCCGCACAAGGCTTGCGTTTGAACTTCTGCGCTGCTGCCGCCCGAGGCTTGTTCCGGCCGACCTTGCTCAGCTCTGGCCTTTTCTTCGACTTCAGAAAAAGCCTCAGCCACAGCAGTATTGTTGGCAATGAACTCATTGATGTCACTCGTCGCCTTCAAGGTGGTTTTCAAACATCCATCAGAGCCCACGCCGAAGACCACGTTGGTCAGGAACGTGACCCAAAGCCTGGCGCTTTCGGGGAGAGTTCCTTGCCACTGCTTGTTTTTGTTCTTGCTGCGCAACTCCTCTGCCACGGTCAGCGACGCCAGCACCTCCCGCTGCGCAGCGGTAAGCTCAATCTTGGGCAGGAGGTTGTTCACCATGTAGCGCATGAGGTCGTTCTTGAAGACCCACAGATCAAGCAAGCCTTTTTGCTTCTGTGGTATCAGGGTGCGCTTCGTGAAATCTTTGCAGCTCATCTGCTCCGTCAAGAGAAGGTGTTCCACCATGAGAAGTACCCACTCAATGAGCTGCGGAGTCTTGCTCTTGAGCACCACCGCATCCAAGTTGGTCATCCACACCCACGGTGACATCTTGCCATAGCGCTCCTCAATGCGCATCACTGAGGCCCGCAACTTCTTGTCGCCCAGCAAGTTGTCGTAGACCTTGAAGGCTGTCTCGACAAAGTTGAGCGTCACTGTCTCCGCCAAGTGCGAGCGCGTCTGCCTCACATTGGCCTCCCACGCCTTGAACAGCTCCTCTGCGCCAGACACGCCCGAGGCCTGCATGGAAGAGCGAAAGGCGACCAGCTCGAACACACGGCCCACTGCCGTTCGCACCAAGGCTTCGTACTCCTCGATGACCTTGTTGCGGAGGTTGACCTTGTAAGGGTGTTTTTGCGCGTGGCGTCAAATAATAATATATGACTGCAGCCTGCAGACACCGGATTAAACATGTTTAACGGCCGCCACAGCTAGGTGCCCGGACTGCTCGAAAGAACATGTCTTGCTCTGTCTCGATGATCTCAAAGCGGATCGTGACACTCAGCAGCTTTGACCTCCAGCTCCTGAGTGTCTTCTCAGCCTCCCCTGCCCGGATGGCGTCCCGGACGGCGAAGAGCATCGCGTGCTCTGGCTCCTCAGGCGACACCCTCCGTAGGTTGCCAAAGGAAAGGGCCAAATTCTTCGGCACTGCCACAGCCACCGAGCCGTCGAAGTGCGCCGGACCCTTGAAGTGGGAGCGCTGGAGGTTTTTGACGGCGGTTGCATTAATCGGGACGCCAGGCGTCGCGGACCCGCGGAGGTTCAGCCAGAAGATGTTGCCGGCGGCCTCGTACACCCCAGCCGTCTGCATTGCGGCCTGGTAGGCCTCCGCGCTGAAAGTGGCCTCGTCAGGGACGACAGCTCAGAAACTTTTGCGAAACTGCCGAAATCTGGAAATTATTTTCTTTATAAAAATTATTTTTTTTTTGATCTAAAAAAGTCTCAAACTGTTGGAAGGCTAGGGTGCCAGCACCCTAGGCTTCCAACAGTCCGGACCGGTCGGGACTGTTGGAAGGGCTCTTTTTTGCAAACACGAAACTGTTGGAAGCATAGGGTGCTGGCACCCTAGCCTTCCAACAGTTTCGTGTTTGCAAAAAGGAGCCCTTCCAACAGTCCCGACCGGTCCGGACTGTTGGAAGCCTAGGGTGCTGGCACCCTAGCCTTCCAACAGCTTCGAGTTAGGATTGGCTCCAGATAAGAAAGCCAACTCTCCTAGAACTGCAAATGGAAATGTGATTAAAGCCCGGATGGAAGCAATCAGCGACTGTTAAAAGTTGAATTTGCTCTTCTTGAGCCCTTTTTGCCTTTTCAATTTAAGTTGGTGACCCTCTTTGCAAACAGCGAGCCTTCCACCCAGCATCTTCTGCAGATGCGGTCCCAGAGATTCCAACTGGGTCTGCAGAGGGCAGGTCGGCGAAGGTTGGACAGGCCAAAATCTCCTGCACCGCCTGCTCCAGCTCATGGTGGTACTCCATGTTCAGATTGTCCTGCGGCGGCGGAACCGCTGGACCATGAACCAGCACCACGTCAGCCGCAGCCGCCGCGGCCTTGGCCTTTGCCTTGGCCTTCTTCGGCGCCATGATTGCTGCGACGACGAGCCCCGCTACTGGCTTGAGCCCCTGTCACACATCGGCGCCTTGCTTCACGACAGTCGGGCGCAAATCACACTAGGCAACACAGCTTGACAAGTCTGGCGAGCTCCAACAGGCGTTTTGTCAACAGGCGTTTTGTCACACTCCTGCCTGTGCAAAGTTTTCTTTTCACCTGGCCCCGGTCCTGGCTGTGCCTGTAACGTGTTGTTACTCGCCCTTGGCTGATTCTGCTCAAAAGGTGCTCAGCACCATCCCATGGAATGCCAGCCTTGCCGGCGTTTGCCGGCACAGGCTGTTACATTCCGCAAATCCCCTTGGCAACGCAGGCCTGTTTCGCAACGAACTGCAAAAGCCCTTGTTTGCCAAACACATTGTGCTCAGCTGCCCGGATTGCAGCTTGCTCGCTCATGACAGCTATCACAGCATAGCGCTTCGGGTTCTTGACCTGGGGGCCGGCGGCCCTGGTGGTCATGTGGACAAAGTCCTCTACGGAAGTCAGCAAGGCCCAGCGTGACAAGACACGCCCGCACGCGCACCGCAGAATGCGTGCAAGATCAGGTTCTTCCCGGACAAAGCAGTGGCTGATGAACACGCTTCTCTTGACTGCGGTCGCAGGAAAAAAGTCAAAGGCGATGCCCTGGGCGCCGCCAGTCATGAAGTACATATTGTTGGCGACATACCCCCCTTGCAAGGCGGCTGTCCACAGCACTGCTTCTGGCGGGTTGGCTGGGTTCAACACGATGAAGTTGTCAGCTTCCTCGGGGCGCGGGACAAGCGCAGGATTGGCACAGTCAAGCTTCGCCAGCTCAGCGTTCTCGAGCCAGAAAGTGCTTGTCTGGAGGTTTTTGACCATGGCCGGGCGAATTAAACTTGCTCGCTGCCTTTCCTTGGTGACACGGTCACGGTTGTTCTTGGCAACGTTGGCTTGGAAGGCTTGGGTGACCTCCAGCAGGTCATCGTCGATCTCGCCTTCAAGCAGCGCTCCTTCCAGCAGGGACTGGACACGGCACTTGTACTGCTTGCTTTGCTGAAAAGACTGCTCGGCCAGGAGGCTTGCGTCCCACAGCCCCTCGCTTCCTTGCTGTGCAGCGTGCTGCACCTCATCTGCCGAGACCAGGGCGGCTCGCTTGCCAACGACAGAACGTCGCTTTTGCCTCAGCCACCACCGCCGCACAAACTTAAACCCGACAAGCCGAACAGCCTCAAATCAAAGCAAAACTGACTAAACTGCAACTGCCGCCTGGCCGCCTGAACCCGATCTCATTTTTTCCGTCTGCTTCCTCGTCGTCATCGACTGGTCGCTTGCGAGGGACTCCTTTGTCAATCCTGTCCAGCGCAGATGAGCGAGGTGCTCCAAAATTCTGCAGCCACACCTGCACTGCTTGTTTGCATAGCGCGTCCGGGTCCTCCGCATGGAACAGCAGCCTCAGCTCGGTGTCCTTGGTTGCTTCTGCCATGAGCCGCCGGTCTTTGGGGATCAGACGCTCGATCTTGGAGAACCCCTGCTCCACCCCCGAGGTAGTCAGGCCATTCCAAGCCCCATAGTAGGCCAGCGCCTGGCCTAGAACGTCTGTGGGATGACCACTGCCCTTCCCCTTGCGTGCCCGCAGCACGGCGTTGCGCCACGACTCGAACGGACTCCTGCCAGAAGTAGCTGCCTCATGGAGAGCGATTGGCAGGATGTCCAGGTATTGGTCGTGCAGCGTCTGGGCAGGCAAAAGCAGAACATTGGCGATGCGCTCCAAACTTGTCTTGGCGTTTTCCTGGTGGTTCTCTCTGCTTGCCATCCGGCGATTTGTGTGGGCCTTTGAAACATCAAAGGCGTTGAACGCCATCACAATGTCATGGCCAGGAAACTCTGCCTTGACAGTGTCCACTGCCAGGGCGACGAAGACCTGAAGCCGCTGAACCATCTGCAGGAGCATCTCTGACGACACTCGCCGTGGGCCGCCCAGGACCTTGGGCACACCCTTGGCCATGAAGGCTGTTTGCTTGTCGAGCTGGCGGAGCATGTGGAGAGTGAAGCCCTGCTGCAGGATGCCACCCTGCAGTAAAAGTAAGCAAACCCTCAAAAAGCCACAGCCTTATTTAGCGCCAGGCCTCATTGACCAGGTGGTGGAGTCTTGAGAGGAAAGCCGAGACCTCAAAGGCTGTCTCGCTGACGTCATATGACTCACGGTCATACAGGCGCACAAAGCAAATGCACTCATCTGCCAGGTCAGCTGCCATCGAGAGAAGAACAAGGCGCTCCTCTGACAACTCAGCAAGGAAGTCAGTTGCTTGTTTGGCTTCGTCCCCATCGCGGTTTGCCGAAACCCAAATCAGGGTGCTCAGCACGGCATCCCAATGTAAGATCAGTCTGCCAAGCGGCTGGCTGTAACTGGCAAAACGATGCTTTGCAGCCTGCAAGCTTTTCCGGCTGGATGCCACATTGCCACCTTGCTGCTGCACATACCTCGCGAACACCCCCTGTAGAACAGGTGAATTCTCAATCTTGCGGCATATGCAAGTTTTGTCGAAGACAAATGTTTGCAGCAGCCCAGAAATTTCAGAGTCAGCCTCCCATGGCCGTTTGAAGACCCGTGTCGCAGCGTGGCTCCGGTCGCGCTGAATTGTCAGCAGGTTTGGAAACAGCGCGCGGCCGGCTTCTCTTCCAGACCCTTGCTCACTGCTTGCAGCGTCAGCCACAAAGATGGAGACTTTCTTGGCGAAGTTCTTCATTGCAGCCTGATCGCCGTCAAAGACGTGCATGAGTATCTTCTCCATGGTCTTCAGGGTGTTGGTGATTGTTTCTCCGCCTTCCACAGGCAGCGACCCGACCATGCCGCGGCGCACAGACAGAGCCTTGTCGCACGCCGTGTACCGCATGAGTAACTCTGCCTTGCGGCAATCCTGCCCAATACAAACAGTCACAGATTCGGATAGGATTTTCCGGGTTTCCGCCCTCGCAGCTTCTGCCAAAGCCCACTGCATTTGACTTAGTTTGAATCGACCGCCGATCCCCAGAATGCCTTGGCTCAAACTGTTCCCAGCTTGCCGGTGCTTCAGCACCTTTGCAAAGTCGCCTGCCGCAGGCGCGAGATTCAAGTCAGGGACGTCGCTGTCCATGCCAAGGCTGTCAAGCGAGAGCTGATGAGAAACAGAGGTGGTGTGAGTCTGAATGTTCTTCAGGTTCCCAGACCGGACGGCGCCAGCAGCGTACTTGCAGCACTTGCCAGCCTTTTTGCAGACCCAGCACCCAATGCCCCAAATGTCGTCCTCACTGCGACACTGCGTCAACCAGGACACAGCCAAGGCTTTCCCATGTAAACGAAGACGAGTGGCTTCTTCCCACGACTCTCTATTCCGGAGGTAGCAGCATCTGAAGCACCGAGCATTCTTGCAGCTCTTCACGTGCGCGATGGAGTCGTCTAATTTTAATTCCCCAGAGTCAGCCTCGCCTTGGCTGCACGCAGTGACCGCATCACACACTGCCTCAAGCTTGCCCGGTGGTGTCGGGGGCGCTCTGCCCGCCAATGGCCGAGCAACGCGGCCAAAGCCGGGGATCATGGCGGCGGAGCCCTGCTGCGAGTGCCCTGTAAGCCTGTGTCTGGGTGTCCTGTGTTGTCCTGCGGTGTCCTGTGTTCTGGGTGTGTGCGTTGGAAAATACCTGCTCGGATGCGCAAGTCTGTGATTTAACAAACGCTGCTGCCTACTTGCCTAAATAATGGCTGCAGCGCACGGCCGTAGATTGCGACACTGTGCTGCGCAAATGTCCAGGCAGCGGGGTCGAAATGACACGGACTGCGCAACGGCTTTTGACATTGCGGTCTGACCCTGATGAGCATCTAATTACATTGGCTGAGCGCGGTAAAACTCACGCACTACTCCACATGAAACGAGACAAATGGCCATTCGTCTTGATCCAAAGTTGAGCATGTCTAGCGCAGCTGCGATTGACTTCCGAAGCAGGTTCCGTTCACTTTGAATCAATTGTCTGGCTCTTCCAAAAATGCATTGCCACGCCTCAGGCCACCAGGCGTTTGCTTTGGCAGGGACTGCTCAGAAGGCGGGCTGGACACGACGCAACTCGCAGCACGGTGCTCCTTCAAGAATCGGCGTATATCTTCGGCCAACTTTCGTGCAGATGCCCAATCCTTAGTTGTTTGTCGATTTGAACTTCACCCCAGAGCTCCACAAACATCAATGAACAACCCCAACACTTGCCAAGTTTCTGATTCGCTACATGTCTGGCATCTATCTTCCAAGGCTGGGGTCGTGTAGATGTTCATCACAACATAAGGGCATGGCCTTCGTTGTCGGCGAGAGGGCATTGGAGGCAATAAACCCAGCCAACTTGCCTATCCCTTGAGAACTTCAAAGCGTGGCTGCGAACTGAATGTTGTCTCTGTCTCTTGCTTCTCAACTAGTTGCTCAGTATTCAGCATGAACACTTGCGCTTTGTCCACACAAACGGGGCCGACGCTGACGGGGCAAGCACTTACTTACTCTTGAACGGGGGGAACCAGTCTAAACTTTCGTCATAATAAGAGGACTGCCTCTCCGGCATCATCGATGCTACCTGTCATGCAGTGGATGCCTATCCGGCAGATGCTTGCTTGCTCAGCAAGATCACTCGGCGACAACGCACAAGTTCCATTCGCTTGCTTTTTCAGCAAGAATCACAACTGCTTATTCAGCAGTGATAAACCTCAGAAACGACTGGCAATGCGTTCAGTCAAGCCTGCCTGCGCGCACACTCCCAACTCCAAACGAAGGGAGGTAGTTCAAAATGGCAAACAACGCACTCAATTCTGGCAGGTGTTGCTTTTGCAGCACGTAACCCAGGCTTTTTCACAAAACCTGCGCTCTTGCATCTTGCTTATTCAGCAAAAATGTTGATCTTGCTTACTCAGCAAGGATGTTGATTAACAGTAACAAACTGCTTCCCCTTTGCTTATTCAACAGGAACGTTAAGCCTTGCTTATTCAGCAAGGATGTTGACCTTGCTTACTCAGCAAGGATGTTGCTGACCAACAGTAACAAACTGTTTCCCCTTTGCTTATTCAACAAGGACGTTAGGCCTTGCTTATTCAGCAAGGATGTTGATCTTGCTTACTCAGCAAGGATGTTGCTGACCAACAGTAACAAACAGTTCCCCCTTATTATTCAGCAAGGACGGAAGCCTTGCTTATTCAGCAAGGATGTTGATCTGGCTTACTCAGCAAAGATGTTGCTGACCAACAGTATCAAACATTTCCCCCTTGCTTATTCAGCAAGGACGGAAGCCTTGCTTATTCAGCAAGGATGTTGATCTTGCTTACTCAGCAAGGATGTTGCTGACCAACAATAACAAACATTTCCCCCTTGCTTATTCAGCAAGGACGGAAGCCTTGCTTATTCAGCAAGGATGTTGATCTTGCTTACTCAGCAAGGATGTTGCTGACCAACAGTAACAAACATTCCCCCTTGCTTATTCAGCAAGGACGGAAGCCTTGCTTATTCAGCAAGGATGTAGATCTTGCTTATTCAACAAGGAAGTTTCTGACCGAAAGTGATAAATATTCCCGCCTTGCTTATTCAGCAAGGAGGACATACGGCCTTGCTTTTTCAGCACGGAAATTAGGCCTTGCTTCTTCAGCAAACCCAAAAGGGGATAAACATGTTTGAATGCTTTGCTTACTCAACAAGGGCGGCAAACGCATTGCTTCTTCAGCAAGGACGCTAGGCCTTGCTTTTTCAGCAAACCGTGGGCATTGCGTCTTCAGCAACCAAGTGACAATGTAGAACATTTGCTTTGTCAGCCAGCAATTGCTTTTTCAGCAAGACCGCGCGCTCTGCTTGTCCAGCAGAGTGTTTGTTTCGTCAATAAAACCTCAAACCCGAAGGCTTTGCCAGGCCTGCGCCACAGCAGCAGCAGCAGCAGCGCCGCAGCGCCACTGGCAGAAAGCCTGAAGTGTGAGGCAAGAGCCAAGATTGCAATGTCGGTCGCTGCCAACATCCAACTACTGTCTTCCAGCTCTCCTTCTTCAGGAATTGAATGCTTTTTCAGCATTTCAATCTTCATCGAATTTAAAATTAAGAAGTGAAAAGCAACAGTCTACTGTTGGAGGCCGGTTCAACATTGTTCTTAGAACTCCAGGTCTCGCGCGCGGACTGATGTGTTTCAGCGCTCCCGGCACAGGCCTTGCTGTGTCTTTTTGCGTGGCCCTGCCCCCAAACAGACCAACAGTCACCGCAACTGGGAAGACCATTTTTAGTGGTAGGTGATCTACATTTCCATAATCCACTGTTAGTGAGGGGCAGGGCCCAACATGTGCGCGTAATACCAGCAGGATCTACTTCAGATCCTCATCATCGCCAGGCTGATCGCCGTCCCTGTCGCTGCCGCTGCTCCGCCGCTGCCGCCGGTTGTCGCCTCCGCCGCCACCGCCGCCACCGCCAGAGCCACCACCAGCGCCCGCCTTGGCCTTGGCACCTCCGGCGGCGCCCGCTTTTGACGAAACGCCCTGTGCAGATCCACCGCCGTCGCCCTCGGGCTTAGCCGATCCACCACCATCGCCCTTTGCAGATCCACCGCCAGCCTTAGCTGATCCACCGCCAGCGCCCTTAGTAGACCCGCCGCCGCCGTCGGCTGACCCACCGCCACCGCCGCCGTCGCCAGCAGCGCTGCCAGGATCGCCACTTCCAGCAGCGCTGCCAGCTGAGCCACCTCCAGTCTGGCCACTGCCAGCAGCCCCAGCGTCGCACTCCTCAGCCGCATCAGCAATCCAGCTCCAGTACTCGAACGCGATCGACACCATCTCTTCCAAGCCTTGAGGGGCAGGGCCTGCAAGCACCTGACCACCCAGTGTCGCACTCATTTCGGCAGCGTTCGACTCGTGGACCCACACACAACGCGGCGGACCTTGTGCCGGCTTTGGCTTTGCCCTCGGCGGGCGCTGCCATTGCGCCGATGCTGGCCGCTTCATAGCGGCGCTTACTTGACCTGCGCTATGACCTGTGCTACTTAGCTGACCTGTGCTTACTGCACTGACATCAAGTTGCCAAAGCTGTCTTGCGAGAATGCACTGATATCAAGTTGCCAAAGCTGTCTTGCGAGAATTCTTTGTGACAGTGCTCCAAACACTCTTGATGCTTTTGGGCCAGACATGCAGACACAAACAGTGGAGTGGCACCCCACATGGCTTTTTCAGCCTTTGGCGCTGCTTACTCAGCAGCAGGTAGTGCAAACAGCAACCACACCAAACTGCTTCTACTACTCAATTGTGTTGTTTAACATGGAAAAACTGGTGTTTCTCAATTTGGTGGCCAGATCAATAACCCTTTTCCTATTCAGTAAAAATGCCTTGGAAAGTGCAACAACACATCGTGTAGCTCCGCATCAGTCGCAAACCTACAGCGATGAGCCATGACTAGAACAAGGAGCGCGGCAACAAGAAGCGTTGCCCCTGTGAAGCTAAAAGTCGAACCCCCCCCCTGGCGCAGGTTCAGTCAAGCAGCCAAGTGGCAGCTAGCTGCAACACTGGGCGGCTGCAGCACTGGGCGGTTACCTGAAGCCACTGTTGATGAAAACAAGGTGTTGGGAATTGGGCTGCGACAGCCCTTGGCGCTGCAAAAGCGCGAAAAAACGGGCTGTGAAAGCCCTTGGCGCTGCAAAAGCGCTTCCCCCAAAGTCAGCGAAAGTTTCAGATTGCGGGGTCAAAGTGTTTTACAGGTTTAGGTTGTCAATTGCCTTTCCAAAAGCACGACACAAACCCAACAACTGCGCTTCAAACATTTTTGGGGGACTTTCTGGGGCCCAACAGTTCAAACGCTTCTTTGGGCGTCTTCTGTCGATGTGCTTAGCTTTCTTCGGGGAGGGGGGCCACAGCTGATGCGTGTGTGAACACAACGAACGCACCATGTTAGTAGCTGCAGGCTTCAATGAGTCAAACACATGTCCGGAACCCCGGGATGTTTGGAAAACAAACGCAAGCCAGCAAAAAACACAAACATTCTAGTGAAGGAAGGGAAGCAACTTTTGCCATGGACTGCCCTGCCAGCTTCCCAGAGCTTATGCAGCTCTGGCGTTCAACTTCAAGTCCGGTTGGGAGTGGAAGAGAGTGGAGTGGAGTGAAGTGATCCGAAATGGCGTGAAGTGAAGTGATTGAAGTGAAGTGGTGTGAAATGATGTGATGTGTGGTGTGGTGTGAAGCGAAGTGGTGTGAAATGATGTGATGTGGTGTGGAGTGAAGTGGAGTGGAGTGATGTGATGTGATGTGATGTGATGTGGAGTGGTGTGGAGTGGAGGAGTGGAGCGGGATCAAGTGAAGTGGAGTGACAGTGAAGGGAAGTGATGTGGAGTGAAGCGGGGTGAAGTGAAGTGATGTGGAGTGGAGTGAGCTGAAATCATGCAGTGGAGTGGAGTTAAACGGTGAAGTGAAGTGAAGTGAAGTGAAGTGAAGTGAAGTGAAGTGAAGTGAAGTGAAGTGAAGTGAAGTGAAGTGAAGTGAAGTGGAGCGGGTGAGATGAAGTGAAGTGATGTGAAGTGCAGTGGAGTGAAGTGAAGTTCAGTGGAGTGGAGTGGGGTGGAGTGGAGTGATGTGATGTGATGTAGAGTTGAGTGAAGTGGAGTGAAATGAAGTGAAGTGATGTGATGTGATGTGGTGTGGAGTGGGGTGGGTGACGGTGGAGTGAAGTGGGGCGGAGTGAAGTGAAGTGATGTTCCAAAGCCTTTGAAACTTGAAGTTAAGCCAGTTGGATGTAGCTGTGCATTTGGTGGGGCATGCTGTAAGGGTGACCCATGATGGCACCTGGAACTCGGAACTTGTTGCTTTGAAAGGGAGGGAACATCATATGTCACTAGCTCCCTTCTGTGGCCAAAAAAATATTGAGTGCTTGCAAGGGCTTCCAGGGGCGCTTTTTCAGCGCTCAAAGGCACTTGTTCAGTGCTTTGCGTTCACTTGTCAGATCATTGCTTCGGATCTAGTGCTTTCACTTGCGCTTGTTCAGCGCGCGCTTGTTCAGCGCCTTCACATTAGCGCTTGTTCAGCGCGCGCTTGTTCAGCGCTTTCACACCAGCGCTTGTTCAGCGCGCGCTTGTTCAGCGCTTTCACCGGCGCTTGCTCAGCGCCTGTCCCCGCCTTGGCCCATCCGGTCGGCTTGTCCACGAAGAAGTCACTCCAGGGGGGGGTGGGAGGCAAATGGCTTACTAGTATTATCGGGGCACGGTTGCTGGAAACTAGGCATAACATAAAGTTTAGATATTTACGGTTTCAACCAAGTCTCAAGAGGCATGAACCCTGAACTGAAGCGACACCGCTGCAGCTGGAATCTAGAAGGCGCCTGTCCACACACTTGACTGAAAGCAAAGCTGAATCTGCGCGTAACCCACGCTTTTTCAGCACGGGTGTTGACGATTAAACTTAACACCTACGCTCTTGCATCTTGCTTACTCAGCAAGGATGTTCATCTTGCTTATTCAGCAAGGATGTTGCTGACCAACAGTAAGAAACGTTGTCCCCTTTGCTTGTTCAACAAGGATGTTGCTGACGGAAAGTGATAAACACTCCCCCCTTTGCTTATTCAGCAAGGAGGACAAAAGGCCTTGCCTATTCAGCAAGGATGTTAGGATTTTTCAGAAAACCGAAAAGAAATAAACATGTTTTGCGCTTGGCTTCGACAATAAACATGTTTTGCGCTTGGCTTATTCGACAAGGGCGTGCGTACATGTTGTGCGTGCTTTTGCGTGTATGCCCGCATTGTGTAGGCTTTTCTACACCGCACGCACTCAAAAAGGTGTCTGACCTGACCAAATGTTAAAAATATTGGAGCTTTAGCTGAAGAAAAATTAAAAAATTATAGCTAACCACAAGCAAGAAGCTGCGGCGGCCGCGCAAGTCGCGGAGGCCGAGGAAGCTGCAAAGGCCGCGACGGCAGCACAAGCCGCGGAGGCCGCAGGAGCCACTCAATCTGCGGCAGCCGCGCAAGCCGCAGCGAGCGTGCAAGGCGCGGGGCAGCCGCGCGGGTCGCTGAGGCCGAAGAGGCCGCAGAGGCCGTGGAGCCCGGAAGCCGTGGAGGCCGCGGAAGCCGCGCAAGCCGTGGCGGCCGCGCAAAAAAGCCGCGAACGCCGCATAAACGCCGTGCAAGCTGCCAAGGCCGCGTAGGCCGCGGAGAATGGAGACCGCGCAAGCCGTGGAAGCCGGCAGCCGCGCAAGTCACGGACGCGGAGGCTGCCGAGGCCACGTAGGCTGCGGAGGGCGCGCAGGCCGGAGGGCGCGCAGGCCGCGGAGGGCGCGCAGGCCGCGGAGGGCGCGCAGGCCGCGGAGGCCGCGGAGATCGCGCAGGCCGCGCAGGCCGCGGAGGTCGCGCAGGCCGCGGAAGCCGCGGAGGCCGCGCAGGCCGCGCAGGCCGTGGAAGTCGTGGAGGCCGCGGAGGTTGTGGAGGTCGCGGACGCCGCGCAGGCCGCGGAGGCCGCGCAGGCCGCAGAGGTTGCACATGGCCGCGCATGGCCGCGCAGCCCGCGCAAGCCGCGGGCGCGCAGGCTGTGTGAGGCCGCGGAAGCTGCGCAGGGCCACGGATGGTCGCGGCGGACGCGCCGAGGCAGCCACGGCGGCCGCGCAAGAAAACCCCCCTAGCCCGCAAAGCCCCGTCGACACCAAGCCAACCAGCCCTCCACGCTATGCTGGCTGCGCAGGCCAGCCGCCCAGACCGCGCAGGCCGCGCAAGCCGCAAAAGCCGCGCACCCGCTCCGCCTGCAACTGCGCCTAGACTTAATTTTAATTAACCCACAACACCACGGGGCTGCGCAGACCAGCCGCCCAGACTGCGGAAAGCGGAGAAAGCGAGACAACAAACACAAAGAAAGCCGAGAATCGAAAGGCCGCGCGAGGAAATTTCGGCGCGTGCCGCCCACATAAACTTTGGCTCCGCGGCGGGGAGCCCGCAAAGTGCCACGCAAGGCGAATATAACGAGACTGACGTGAGAAGAAAAAAGATGGCCGCGCGAGCCGCGCAGGCAAAAGAAATACCCGCGCACCGCCTACATAAACCCAACCCAGTCTACGACGCCAGGCCAGCCACGTAGACCGGCCGCCTAAGACTGCGCGCACGCGTCGTGCAAGGAGGACGGCTAGAGACATTTATATGTACGTCTATTCATGTGTATGTATGTATTAACATTGATGTTTGTTTCTACGCCTTGCCAGGCGCGGACACTGCGCTAGCCTGCCCGCGGCTGCCCGAGCCCCGCCCGCCGCCCCGGAAATGCTTGCGCGCGCCGCCCGCAAATCACAGCACTCAACCCACCGCGCCACGCCGGCCGTACAGACTGGCCGCCCGCACGACGCCCACATCTGCCTAAGCGCCGGGCCTGCCACGCCGCCCACAAATAATGGCAGGACCCAACCCACCGCGCCACGCCATCCGCGCAGACTGGCCGCCCGAGCGGCGCAGGCCGCGCAAGCCCAAGGAACCCCCACGCCACACGCAGCGGAACCCAAACCGTACCCAACACGCCACGCCAGGCGCGCCGCCTAGCTGCCGAGGCCGTGCAAAGCGCGGAGGCGCAACACAAACCGCCCGTCGCCACGCGACGCCAGCCAGCCGGCCGCGCAGGCGCGAGGCCGCGCAGGCTGCGCGAGCTACGAGGGCCGCGCAGCGCGGAAGCCGCGCAGGCCGCGGAGTGAAGCCGTGGAGGCCGCGCAGGCTGCGGAGGCCGCGCGGGCCGCGGAGGCCGCGCAGGCCGCGCAGGGCGCGGAGGCTGCGCAGTCCGCGCAGGCCGCGCAAGCAGAGGCCATTGTGGACGCGCAGCAAGCCGCCAGCCCGCGCGAGGCGCGCAGCCCGCCCAAGTCACGCAGCCGGAGCAACTTTGCGGTCATACTCAGGCGTGTTGGCGCAGCTTTGTGGTCCTGCTTTCAAGTGCTTTCTGCTTACTACACTTCATGTCGACGCATTGGCCGGTACAGTCCAAGGCACGGGGGGGGGGGGGGGGGGAGGGGGGGGGGGGGGGGGGGAGGGGGGGGGGGGGGGGGGGGGGGGAGGGCGGGGGGGAGGGGGGGGGGGAGGGGGGGGGGGGGGGGGTGGGGGGGGGGGGGGGGGGAGGGGGGGAAAATCCAGAATTCCAGAAATCCAGAGATCCAGAAATCCAGAGATCCAAAAATCCAGAAATCCAGAAATCCAGAAATCCAGCCGACGTAGAAACCAGCCCCAAGGGCCGCCCCAAGGGACATATAGGTTATATATATATATCTACATAATCATATTCACATTAAACTTATAGAAAGCATATCAACAAAAGCAACACACAACACACCGCCCCCATGCCGAAAGCATGGTCCATTCTGGACCAGGCATGGGGTCGGCGGATTCTCAGGAAGGCCTGGTACATGTTGAACTGAACACCTGGGGTGGCGGAGACAGCTTGCAAAGAGAAAGCCAGATTGAAGAAGAAGGAGCGGAAGCATGGTGGATGCTCGTTGGGGCTCTGATGAAAATTGCCACGCCCAGAACATCTGACGATGCTGTGTTTCACACGCCGTGCTTTGTTGCCCAGTGGCACCCGTTTTATTCTTTTTTGGAAGGATTCCCCTTTAAACGCAACCAACCAAAAAAGGATGCCCTATTTCCCATGGCCAGGGCATCTGAGCCGCACATGGCCAATGGTCTTCAAAGCAACGTGGCCGAACCCTGCAGAGCTTGCGTCTGGGTTTTTTGGCAGTTCCCTTTGAATGTCCCTAGAAAGCAAGTTTGAAGGTATCCTTCATCCAAGGCATTTCTGCATTCCATCATTCTGATTTTAGCTACCCCCAAAGAACCATCACGGGATCGAACAACATCACCTTTCGAAATGCATCAGGTGGTGAACAACTGGGGAAACCATCCATAGTGAAGCCTAGAGGCAAGGGCCTCCCCTGGCTCCATACTCCAGCAGCTTGCCTGGCAGCGGCCTCATTGTTTTACCATGATCAAAGTCACCCTGGGTGGGTGAAAGGGAAACAACCGATTCCATTTTCCGACTTTGATAACCCCCAGCAACAGTAAAGCTAGGTCCCCCAGTAGTGCCCTTCTCCCCCCTTCTTTGGTTGGGAGGGTTCCCCTAAAATAGACGTCCTGACCAAAAAAAAACCACGGGTCCCCGTCTTCGAACCGCTCTGGATGACCTCTGTGATCCCGGTTCGCGAGGCGGAGGCTGTGCGCCGACACAGGGCGCAGCTGGAGCTGGCAGCTCTGCGCCGGGAGGACGGACAGTTGGACGGCACCGGACAGGCGAGTCCTGTGGTTATGATGGTTCTAAAACGGAAATGAAACCAGCAGGCAACCGGAGAAATGGGGGGTTCATGTATTGGGCAATTTATACTCACATATTGCAAGCCTACCGATTCGGACTACCCGGCGATTTCATCCATGAGAAATGGTTCCTTCGTGGATTCCTAATTCAAGTTTGAAGATCATTCTCAAAGTTTAGGGACCCCGCCAAAGGTTAGGGCCTTATTTGGGCTTATTTAATCTTAGTAAGGCTTATTGGGTGGTAGGCCCAACGCATACGTTTGAACTAGTCAGTCAGAACCTTTTGGCAAGATGCTGGGAGGACGGATGCACCGGCACCCTGCGTTCCAAATACCACTACTCCCAATGGAAATGTTGGCAATGTACCCCTTGCATAGTGGCAATATAGGGGTTGTTTACTTGGGGAGTGGATTTTCCCTTGGTACTTTCATAGCTATAGACTTGCACGAATTGGTAGCGAGGTCATCGAACGGGCGTAGAACGCGGGTGTTTTGGAGATTCCTGAATTCGGGTTGGCGAATTGCAGTCATTAGTGTAGCTACGTCCAGACTTATATCTGTTCAAAACGAATTCTTAATCCTTACCTTGAGTTGCGAAAGCGGCCCCCTTTGTAGTGGCTTTTCAATAGGGCTCATGGATTCGGACTGGCCACCACTCTGTTTTGAGCAGCCCAGAACCCATCATATGGAGCGCCTATAGAGCCATTCGATGTCTTGCTTGGACGTGGTACCCTTTTTTGGGTGATATCACGTCAAAAGGAATCCATCCATCTTGGAGGTCTCAACATTGGCAATTGTAAGACCAACCCATTGTGAATTCCTATCTTTATACCCAGATATGCCATGGGAATCCATTTTGAGGTGAAGCTCAAAGTGGTCTTCAAATATGTTGCGCACTGTCTCTCGCGAAGAATTCTCGCGGCAATACGCGGCAGACCTTAAGCGATGCGCTTGGCCGCGGCCAGTTACTTCCAATGAACTAGTGGAGGCCTTGAAGTTCGGCGAATCCATCTTCATGGGCAAATCTGTCAGTGAGTGGATGGAAGATTCAGACCTGTGGTTTACTGTGCTATACACGGCAGGAAAAGCAGAAGCCGCGGACAATGCAAAGCACAGAACAGCGGCTGACTCTCCGGATAGACCTGGCTGGATCTGATCCTGCGAAGCTATCTAGACCTCGCGAAGTCTCATTTTCGGGCGTTTTGGCTAAAATTTGTCGCCTGAGCCCTTGCCCTAAAGCGCTTAAGTGCAATGCAAAAAAAAACACCGGGGGAACTTACGTGCACATGTCTTAAATCACCAGGGGTGTCCGCTCCGTTCAAGGTCCGGACCTTGGCCGGAAAAGCAAGTCAGGCTGGTCCCCTGCAAAATGAGCATGGGACCCGAAAAAGGGGGACAAAAGGAGAGAGTAGGCCGTTTCTTGCCTCAAATCAGAGGCTTGCAATGCTCCTACAGTTCTCCCCCTTTCTAAGGCCTGGGCAATCCACCCGCGAACGCAGCTGAGCGCCCTGAGTGTGTTCACTGCGACCTGCATCTGTTTCCAGAGGAAACCCAAGCTGCCCCGGCAACTTCTGAAGGCCTGGTTCGGATTCAATCTTTCTGAGGCGATTCAGGTGTGACCCCCTGATGGCTTCAAAGGGAGACAAAAGAAAACCGGGAATATGTGAGGGAGGATCCATTTACAATAAGCTCTATTTGCTTGCAGATAGGTTGTCTTCTCGACATTCCATGGACGAATAGCTTGACGCAAGGAATGCAGCGGTACTCAGGAATGGCTGCATTCGCACATTTGCAAATACATTTTCAAGAGTTTATATGACCGTCTCGAACTTCAGCAAACATTGATGATGTCCTTATGACTGTCAACATGCAATCCAAGGTGGATTCAGGACTTTGCAGGGCATTTCTTTGCCAATCTCGGAGAACATCTTTTCTTGAAGCTTGGTTGCGAGATCTTGCAACACCCCTGCTCTCAGATTTCAAAGTGCGCTGGTGTTCCGGTATTTCATGTGCAGAACAGAGCTCTCGCTCCCCAGGGTGTCTCCATCAAAGAAGGGTGCTCTGCGTATTCATGCTACGAAGCAGTTGAGCTGTAGTGCGGGCTGATATATCTCTTATGGTGAGTCCAAGTCCCACCCAGACCCCCAGGATTTTGTCTAAAGTGGGTCGCGCAAATCCTACGTTAAAACAGGTCCAACAGTATCGCTTATTTTTGTTTTGTGACTTATGGGTTTGGGTCAAAACTAAACCACCAGCGGACCACTGGTTTTAGTCCATGTTTCCATTTACCAGGGTTATATTTTCTCTTCTTGGTTTTAAAGGGAATCTATCACTACTGGCCTTTTTTTTTCCCCCGGGGGCTTAAGCAAATGGAAGCATTTTTGACCCACCGCCTTATTGGAATTGACTTCACCCAGAACGCAGCAGGTTGCCGCGTTCCCATAGCACGGACGCTCAGGAGGCCCAGCGCCAGAAATCCCTGGCCGAAGCTGCAGAGCACACGGAACAGCAACTCAGGCCGGTGTTCGGGCCGAAGGGAACAGAAGTCATTTCTTTGGTGCATTTTGCCAAGGGATGTTAGGACTTTAGCTTTTTGCCAACTGAGTTTTCATCAAACTACTAAAAGTTAACTTATAACAGGGGAGCAGAAAGCAACCGAATTGTGTGTTGTCTCTAACCGACTTCTACCCTTTGGGGAAAACACGCCTTCAGAGAGGCAGGCTGTGGGTGTACAACCAGAATTCCGCAGCTTTTCTACTGCAGCTCCTGACTCCCTGTCTCTAACAATGATATTTGTGGTGTCCACATTTGTGAAAGGACTTGGGAAACCACAATGACATGAGATGATTACGTCTCTGCCACCACTTTTGGCTGGCGCTTTTAGTTGGAAACCGACCGGAGACACGCAATTTGTTTTGGGTTCCTTGTTTTAAATGCAACCGGGCTTGGACGGGCTCGGGCGGAGTATGGCAAAGTGACCCATGGCTTGGATGCGATCTAGCGTGGGAGACAAAATTGGACTCCCCTGTGCTCCACACCCAGAACCCTTCCAAGAGGCGGAGTTCTGGTTTCCTCGACCTTACAGAGTGATGAATGCGTTCTAGAAAAGGGAATGCATGACATCCACAGTTGTTGCACTGAACGTCCTAGAAAGATGCTTTCCACAGCCATACAGCAATCCCCCAAGGGAACGTGTGGAAACCAATCATATTCTGATTTTGCATATTCGTCTTTCCCCTGGGGCTAGTGGTTGTATATGGGGTAGCTTTCAATTGGTTGCTCTTTAGTTCGACATGGAACCTGAGAGAAGGTATGGTGAGGGCAACCATCGACTTGGGAAGTGGCATCTTAGGTCCTTAGGTCGGAGGCGACTGAAACAACCAAAGCAGGTAACATGGTTGCCGCGCTTGGAGAGACCTCGTTTCCACAGGCCAGTTCCTTGAGTCCTTGAGTCACAGGTGAAACAGAGCAGCAACTTACTGTCCGGTTGTCCAGATGGGTCATCTTTTGTTGATGGAATGTTGGACTTGCGTAACTGGTTGTTTTCATGCTTCTTTTTGGCTAGCCTATCTTGTTTCTGTTGGCCGTGGGTCTTCCCAAGCATGTTGATGACGGCTCCCAAATTAGCCTTTGGTGGATGCAAGAGAAGCGCTGTACGAAGGGACCACACACCCCCCCACTCTTGCCCGGTAAGGAGGATGGCCTGCCCGAACTTCTTTTACAAGCATTTGCCTGTCAAGCTCCCTGTTAGTCCAGGTCTGCCAGTAGTGCCCTTCTCTCCCCTTTTTTGGTTGGGAGGGTTCCCCTAAATAGACTACTGAAAAAAGGGTACCCTTATTCCAACCTCTCTACTGGAGGACCTAGTAGTGGAATACCAAAGGACCACCTAGTTGTGTAGAAACCGCTTGGAAAGGGGGGTTCTTTGTTTTCGGCCAGAGTCCAAAAACTATATCTGGGTGTCTCATGTCCCAATGTTTGCAGCCCCGGGTGGAAGATGATTCCCAAGATCTCAGCCTATTGTCTCCAAACCACTTCGAAGAAAAGAACCAAACATGGGTTGAGTCTATGCTCTCATTTGGAGGGTATTTTATTGATAGTAGAAATTTGTCTAATCTGGGGCTATGTCATCTAACGCGGGTGTCACGGCAATACATCTGCACGAGGAATAGTAGTTAGCGCAGATACGTCCAAAGTTAGCACATATCCGTGCAGGCCGTACATCCATTTTGGGGTGTTTGCTTAGAGTCCCTGTTTGGGAGTGATTTTGACATGAGCAGTCAAATGGAAGCCATTCATTTCGGAGTTCCCTTATTGTAAGACTACCCCCCATTCGGGTTTGTGAATGAGCTTCCTTGCACAGCAACAGTCTTCTGGCTCTAGAGGGTAAATGCGGTAAATGGGGTTTACCCCTCCGTTTCACCACCAAACCGTGCTCCAAACCACCAACTAAGAGGAAGCTGAGTATCTAAGTGGGTGGCCAGTTGCCATTAAAGCGGGTAACCATGGAAACCATCATGTGGCTGTGGGCCCAGAATGGGTACCCAAAGTGGAACCCTGGTGAATGGAACCACAGACTGAAACCGCGCAACCCTAGCTCTTTAAGTTTGAGCCACACCCATGTAAGTAGAGGAAAGCAGCAGGTGAGCTACAGTATTTCAGTTTGCCCCTAATTGTCGGATTTGGATGGGTGGTTTGGACATTTGACCTGGCTCTATGCATTTGAATGGGGCAAATGGGAGGGGTTTTACGTCTCTGTTTCACCACCAACGCACCGGGCTGCGGGTACCGAGCCGTTCCGAGCCGTTCCGAGTTCCGAGGGCCCGGGAGGAGGCGAAGGCGAGGGAGGCCGTGGAGGCGCAAGAGGAGCGATGCCACCTGGAGACGCAGGCGACGAGCGACGAGCGACGGAGCGCGAGCGCGAGCGCTTCGCGAGTCGAACTTCGGGAGGTTGTTTTTTTGGTCGGGGGCTTGCGGTGAGTCGCCCAATTTTTGGGGCGGACCCTAAACTCCGAACCGTAAACCCACGCTTTTTGTTGTTGTTTTTTAGGATTCATGTTCGTTGCCCTGGGAATTGCGGTGAGTTGCCAAAAAATTGGGCTTCTTGGTGTCCCATTTGAGTTTCAATGTTTGTGCTTCAGGGGTTTTGGAATCGCATGGCCTTGGAAGATTTTGGAAGATTTTGGAATTGTTTGTAACCCTAAACCCTTAACCGTAAACCCATTTCTTCTTTAGGATTTGTGTCCCATTTTGTTCAATGATGTTTCACGAAGTTTGGAATCGCATGGCTTTGGACGTCCTTTTGGGATGTTGTTTTTGTTCCCGGACCTCCAGCTATCCTACATTTCTATTTTGAGGTGGTTTCTTGGTGCTCTGGGGGGTCGTTTCCGGGTGTCGGTTTCGTTGGTTCGGTTTCCCAGTTGTCTTGTGGAGCTCTTTTCCCTTTCTGTTTGGTGGATTTCCCTCATTCTTCCAGGCCACTGGGCAACCGTTTGTTTCATGGAGTTTCTACAGGGGTTTGTCTCAAATTTGGGATTAATCGAAGTAGCAGCTTTAACGCTGCCAAGTCGAGTTGGTTGCAGCTAGGGCCCTTTGTCAGGAGCTCAATGGCTAAAATTGAAGCGTCTGGGCGGTGCCGTGGTAGTTTGCAGCAGAATGACCTGTTTGGATTATTTTCCAACAGAACCACTGGCTAGATAGCCATTATGCAATTGTGGAGTCTGCAGCCGATGCTGCTGCAAATACGCTAAGCAGATCCTCCCAACAGCTGCTCGCACGAGAAAGCGTGGGAGTTCTCGAGACAGGTGATGAGCAGGCGCTTCTTTCCCCCAGTCATTGGCGCATGCAGGCTTCCAGCGAGGCAGCTTTGGTCAAAGAGCGGTGGTTGCAATCTTGCGCCATTTGATACACTGAGGCGCCCAACCTACGCTTGAGGCACCCAACACGTGGCACCTTGTGAACACGGGTTCGTTGGCACTATCATAACCAGGACAATTCTACTTAGCTTGTGCAGTGCTTGAAAACCAGATTAAGCCGGAATCACAGGGAGAACCTGTCCGTATTTGTTAAGCTTGAACCTTTGTCTTTAGAGCAGGTTGGCGTACATTTCTTTTCAGCAATGCCAGGTTTGCGAACCCAACTGCAATTCCTCGATATGTGCATGCTTGTTGCCTGTGGCCCGCCATTTGCGGCAGTCCATGGCTGGTCCAGGGAGTCAAGCGTACCGTGCCTGCCGCCAAGACGAGCTCAACGTTGCAAAAGGTAGATCACCAGCTGGGCGCCAACCAACCCATCGTTATCATGTTCCTCATGGACTGATCCTGCTGTGGGAACTAGATTCCCATTTTGGTGGTAAACAAGTTTGTTGCCGACACGTGGAAGCCTGCAGGCTGCAGCTTTCTTTTCCGAGCAGAAGGAGGCCGGCGGTGGATATTCAATCCTTCCGCATTTTGTTGTTGGTAGATGTTGGTAATGTTAACCCCGGATTAATAAACTCCTGATTGATTAATAGGGGGGGGGTGTCCCCCCTTTTGGTGAGGAGTCATCACTTTTGGAGGGAACACCCCCCTAATAATGGGACGGGTTTATTAATCCTGGGTCAACATTAAGTTCTTCTTCATTGTAGCAATCGCCCAACATATTTGAGTTTTTTCTGGCCAGGCAACTCAGCATGTCGCTCTGAGGCTGTTGTAGGATCTTGAAACAGGGTCTCTTGGTGCGTGTCGAGCACTCTTTGGAACTCCCCATGACTTTGTTTATTTTGTTTAGATCATGGTAGCGTGCCTATGTGAGCTTGTCTCCAATACTGGGGGGCCCGTCTAAAAACGGTTGGTGCCACCCCAAACAAAGTGTCCTCAGGAAGAGGGTCTCCCTATGAGTTGTTTCTGAATTTTACAGATTGGGCGCAGTTCTTGGCACGCATGCAAATTCGGAGCGCGGCAGTGGGGGTTTTTCGTGGGAAGCGTAGTTGGACTCGCATATGAATGAAGCCTGCTCTGAAAAAGAAGGCTTCGGAGGAATGTTTGAGAACGACATGCTTCCAATTAGAGCAACGCCCAAAACCTGGGTGTACATGGTTAGTAAGAATTGTGCGTATGCAAATTCCCGCGCGAGCAAGGTGGCGTAAGAAGGTGGCATAGGCAAACCCACTTGTGTTGCGTAAGGTATGTGCAGGGGCGCAAACAAAAGATACGACGTGGCAAATCACTATAGGCTCAATCGATGTTTCTACCAGAGACACTGACAAAACGGAATATCCATTTGGAGGCGAGCCAAAGGGGTTCTCTTGTGTCTAGGAGTAAGGTCCCCACTCTGTCCAACCGCGAATGCCACTAAACAGCAAGGCTTCAAAGGGCGGGTTTTTGAAAGAATTATGCTTGAAACCAAACATATTCCTCCCAACAAAATGAAGGAACTATGCTTAACACCAAACATATTCCCCCCCCCCAACAAAAAAGAATGAACCATGAATGCAAATGGCCCATGGTTTCCCGGATTCCCCCCTTCGGGGGGCCGAAGGGGGCGAGACGAATGTGGGTGCCAAGAGGCCGCGGCGGCGCGGCGCCGGCGCCACGAGGCGCACGCCAGGGAGGTCTGGCAACAGGCGGGCGTCGTTGCGCGCGCCAGGGAGGGGGGAGAAGGGGGGAGGGGGCGGGGCGGAGGGGGGGGAGGGGGGGAGGGGGCGAAATTCTCCCGGGGGGGGGGAATTTCTCTCACCAGGTCCCCAGAAGTGCCCTTTCTCATAGTTTCTTTTTTGGGGGAGGGTTCCCCTAAAATAGACTACAGAAAAAAAGGGGTATTCTTATTCTGACCTCTCTAGTGGAGGACCTAGCCCATGGTCACGTTTTTTTGTTTTTGCTAGGAGTGGCTCGCAGCTTACCAAGGGCTCCAAGGCTGGTTGGTTGGTTGGTTGGTTGGTTGGTTGGTTGGTCGGTCGCAAACCAGCAAAAATACAAACAACACCGCCCCTTCAGCAACAGTAAGCACAGCTGAAACACGCCCCAAAGCCTGACGCAAGCCAGCCCGAAGCCACCCCCGAGTTTACCCAAGTTCAACCATAAGCAGCTAAGCTCAAAAAACAATGGAGGGCCATTTTTCGTTTTTTTAGGAGTCTTTTTTGTTTTTCAGGATGGGTGGCTTTTCGGATTCTTGGCTTTTGTGGCATTTGAGTTTATGTGGCTTTTGTGGCTTTTCATTTCGCATCCTCTGCATTCACAGTTCCTCTCTTACCAGTTCCTCTGGTGGCTTTTTGGCTTTGTGGCTTTGGGCAGCTTTCTTGCTTTGGCTTTTCGCATCCTCTACTTTCCCAGTTGGTTTTTTGGGCAGAGATTTAACTGCACAACTATTCGTATCATCACTTCTTCGAGCATCATGGGGGGTTCTGCCGCCCCCCCCCCCACCCCTGTGCTACTTTTTAAACTTTTGGTAGAGATTTAACTGCGCCCATTTCAAGTCATCAACTTCTGCGAACACCATGGGGGGAGCTGCCCCCCTTCCCAACCCCCCCGCTACACTTTTTTATATTTTTTGCCACAATTGGATCATCACTTTTTCGACATGGGGAGGCTGCCGCCCCCCCCCCCCGCTACTTTTTGGACTTTTGGCAGAGATTAAAATGCACCTCTAATTGAATCACTTTTTCGAACAACATGATTGGGGCTAACCCCCCCCCCAACCCCCCCGCTACTTTTTCGGTGTTTACAGGGGTTTAATTGCAACCGTATTTGAATCCTCACTTTTACCATCATGAGGGGGACCCCCCATACATAAATACCTACCTGCCTTGCTGGAGAGGAGCTGATGATGCTGAGGATATAGGAAGCCCTCGGTTTGCTGCTGATGCTGGGGATGTTGGCTGGACATGCGGGGGATGTTGAAAACGATGCTCATGATGTTGACGGGCTAGTGTGGAATACGTACACTTCGTGAGAAAATGCTTTAACATACCTCATTTTACTAGCCAAGACGGAAAAAAAACAGGTCCTAAAATAAAACAAATAATCCCAAATTGAAACTCGACCCAAAAATAACAAATGCCAAGCGGTGATCACGCCAGCTAGCCCCAAACAAACCAAACACCGATCCTGACAAAGCTCTAAAGCCTACCCGATTCCAGCCACAAGAACTTAACCGGCTTGAAACCAGCCCTGCAATGCAGCATGGGGCTCATGCCTGTCTTGCGGTGGCAACAGATCAGAGGCAGACTGAGCTAGGGATGTTGCGCTCCACTCGCCCTCCTCTTTTGCACCCTTCAAATTTGAAAAAGGAGGGGAAGAGGGAAAACTGGACTTTCCTTACTGCAAGCAGGAGCCTTGAGGCCTTAGACTCCGGTGACGTTCAGCAGTCAGGGAATCAATTGAATCTACCGCACTACCAACATGTGGTGGCATCTCTTTTCATGTGTACTGTGTTGGTCGTTATGCCCTGCAAACAAAACAGACTTATTCTGCGTGGGAATCCCGTCAAATGAAACCAGCGAATACAGCACACCTATGTTTTCCGACACTTCTAGTTTGCTGATTTGCTCGTTAATAATCCTCTTCCTTTTGGCACCCCCCATGCCGGCCAGATTGGCAGCCTACGTGCAATATATGGTTTGATGCGTGTGCAATGGTGTCGCAGTCTCCTAGATAAAATGGTTCCGCAGGATCAATACTGTTTGCGCCCTCAAAGCTTTTCCTCCTTCCAGCGGTATATAGTCCAGAAATCGGCCGGCATCTCCCTCCGTACTTGTAGCCATGAAATAGGTCATGGACTTAAATAAAGATAAACTGTCTAGGCGTGGTTTAATGACGCCGCCCCTATTTTACTTGTTGTGGTTGCTCTGAGGAGAAGGTGACTTTTGTGGGGAATCCAACTGGAGAAAGCGCACTGTGGTTGGGTTGGATTTTGTATCCCATTTTTGAAGGTTGGGTGAAGTGGGCAAAACTTAGACCCCCAGCAAACAAGTGAAAGGGACGATGAATGACAACCCAAAGGACCAAATGTCAACGTGTTGCGGCTTGAAAGGGAAACTAAAGAAAATCAAAAATGCGCAAAGTTACCACAAGTATACGGAACAATGCCAAGCGGTGTCTTGAGAAACAGGCCAAATTTTGGGAACGTCCGCTCCCCCCCCAAAAAAAAACCTGCATCTCAAAATCACTGGATTTGCGAGGGGTCTCCTTCAATCACCTGGTAAGTGTGATGCTCATGGCAACAACTGTTATTAAATCCAGCCCGGAAATGGTTCATGATGCAAACAGTATTATGGAATTTTCAAGTGGGAATCATAAACCACGGATGTTCGCTCGTTCTACTGCAGTCAGCTGGTGGCAATATGCCCACACGCATCCCTACAAGGCAACACGACGCGCGCGCGGGGCCCCACCCCTCTCGTTTTGTTCGGCTTGTAAGATGTTTTGCTCGTTGCTCGGCCGTGTTTCAGCCTAAGACGCGTGCTTCGCAGTAACCCATTGGAAGAAGCGTTGGCAAGATTTTGTTGGAGGCTCGAATGCTCCTGAGTCGTTCTGCAATAGCCCCTCCAATACGAGTCCGTTCATGTTCCCTGTTAAAGTCCACCCCTGACAATTGTTGGTCATGCACGGCGCACTTGTGATCTAACATTTGCCACAAAGGTGGGGGTCTTTTTCGAGATCTTTGTCACAGTGCCACGCGCAAACCACAGCCGGGATTTCCCCGATTCTTGACTTGAGCTAACTTGATTCCCATACATCGTTCGGGTCTATTTCTCACTCGGGCCAGGCCGAGGAGCAGCGACGCAGCAGAGATGTGCAGCGCTAGAGGCGGCCAGTCCAAAACGATTCACTGTTAGAGGTTGTGGGGGTTTTGCCAAGAATGCCATACAATTTTCAACTGAACACATAGCTTGTTGATTCGGGGAGTGGCCTGTACGTGAAGTAACCTCCGTCTCACAGAAGCTGCCCAAACATCGGGCGGCCGAAAAGGTCCTGTAGCGATGTGTGTGTGTGTGTGTGTTTCTCAAGATTGGTCTTCAGACAGGTATAGGTAGCTGCTTTTCTTACGTATCGTTTCCCGTTACAACCATCCAACACGGTCTTGAGAATTGGTTCCTTCGGGTTCCCCTTGAAAGGGGTCGGGTCACAGGGTTCCACCGTGAGTCCTGTCAAGGGAATTCCGCAAACTGCTCTCATCGCCCCTTTCGATGTGTATGAACTTATTTACCTTAACAGCTTTCGTGCGCGCATTCGAAAGTGGCTGTTGTGAGCCTTCTTAAGTACAGCTCAATCTGTAATCTTGACTCGACTGTTTGGCAGGTCACCTTACTTGATAATGTGCACATTGGTTGACGGAAGCCGGTGAGATTTTGTGAGGGGTGTGTCTTCCATTCATTGATGGGTGATTGATCCGTTAGCTTTATTTGGCCGTGGGTCAACACCAATGGTACCATTTTGGGGTAGGTGCACCACCCATTTTAGTCCATTTTAGTGGGGATTGGGATGTTCACTGAGGGTATGGGGTTTTGACCCATAGCCGCCATAGCCATTTGAGCCTTTGAGTACGATCCGGATTGATCCGAAATTGACATTCAGAAGGTCATGCCCAGACTGTGAGGTGACTGACTGGGTTGGTGATATAAATCGGCCAATGCCAAGGGAGACGATGCGAACATGTTTTTTTTCAAGTCGGTTTCGACCTCATGACCGGGGAATCCTGTTGCTACAGCATGGAAGCTTAGCATTTGCGCCCAGCAGCTCTTTGCCCTTTGCTTTCCAAACGTTCGGAATTGCTCCCACCGAGCTTTAGGCAAGTGGCCGACGGATACAGTTGGAGCTTTCTCGGGTCCCTTGAGCCAAAACCGGCACTGTGGTATGAGCCAAAACCGGCACTGTGGTATGTGAGGGATTGGTCAGTCCTGCCAGTAGACTCAGCTGCCAAAAGCAGGTCGACCTTCGGACATTCGCTTTATGGCTTTGATCTATATTGTGCGCAAAGGTTTCCCACTGGCAAATGTTTTCTGGGTCAACATTTGGACACATTTTGCACTGTCGCCCTTTTGGTAGTTGGAAAGTAATAAGTCATAGTAGAATCCCAGGATGGAGGTTGAGCATTGACCAAGTTGTATTTCTGGATCCTTTGGACAAGCTTTTGGAAGGAGCCGTGTTTGTACGAGTTCTGACAGGCATGCAGCTGGATGCGATCTGACCCTTAGCTCGGCTCAAGGCGAGCTATACACTGTTGAACGTCAGCACAGTGGGTCCGCCCCCTTCAGCTGAGCCAAGACTGAATTTGTTCCGGTCGCCCTTGTAGTGAGCAGCCCGGGGAAGCCATGATGTAAAACCTAAGTGTTCAGCAAACCTGGTTCCTACTATATGTACCCGTATATGTAGCACTGACTGGGTGGATTGAAGGGCAGGAGCCAATTCCCAACCATAATTACAGAAGCGACGTCTTTTGTATGTCCCTTTCTGGTTTGAGGGGAGTGATTGGTTTTCCTGCTTCTTGCAACTCAGTTGCTGTCCCGGTACCGTCTAACCATGACCAAGCTGAAGTTTGATCTATCCTTTTTTTCGAGTGTGGAACTTTACTAGGCGTGGCTCAAACTCAAACTAGGTGACCATTGGTCTGCAAGGGGAGGCCTGACTTTCACTGAAATCCGAGTAGGTGTTGTGCCCAACATGGGAGGGGATGAGTTTGGCAATATCATGCCCATCAAGCTTCAAGACATGTGACAGCTGCACACCCAGCCAATGGATTGAGTCAATATGCCGCCGGTCAGCGCCGGGGTGCTCTGGAACTGTGGAAGAACGGCAAAAACTATCAGGGAAGCCCAGGAGCACATGAGCCACAATCAAAACCATCGTTTTAATGCCAAGTTTTGAATGCGACTCACATGAGGAATGAGGAAGTATGCCCACCCTTACGGGGGAACCCCCCCGCACCTCCACACTCTCCCACCGCACACACACACACACATACACAAGCTTGAGCAAGCAGGCAGGCAGGCAGGCAGGCAGGCAGGCAGGCAGGCAGACAGGCAGGCAGGCAGGCAGGCAGGCAGGCAGGCAGGCAGGCAGGCAGGCAGGCAAGCACGAGCGCACGCACACATGCACGCACACGCGTCAGCAAGCAACACACACACACACACACGAACACACACAAAACAAACACAAGACACACACACACACAGACACACACACAGACACACGCACAACAACGCGCAGCACAAACACACAACACAAGCACACAACGCTAGCGCAGCCAGCACAAACACAAGGCACACGCGCATGTGCACACGCACATAGTGACAGTAATCGGCACCGATGTGCAAAGCGCTCAAGGCAACTTGCTTAGCAGAGCCCTCCTCTTTGCAACTGTTCCTCGTGCTGCCCCCCCCCACCCCGTGCTCTTGCAACGCCAGTGATACGTTTCTTGCGGTGCAGTCGCGGATGATTTGCGAAAGGTTTGCGAAAGGTTTGCGAAAAGTTTGTAGCAACAGAAAGCCTAAAATCAACCGCGCTGGCTGCGTAAGCAAAAGTAACCAAGACATGCCCGCGGAAGCCCGCGGAATTTGACACAAACATGTCCGCGGAAGCGACAGTTCACGCCGCCGAATCTTGGCGGAAGTGTTCGCGGAAGGTTGAATCTTGTCACAATGTCATCAGAACAGGGTGATGTTTGCCGATAAGTCCCTGAATAAAAAGCATGCCGACGTGCCTTCCACAGGCACATTGGCAACTCGTAACTCGGTGTTGTGCCCATGCTGAGACCATCCAAGCTCAGCAAACGTGTTGGTCCGTGCCAGATTCAAACGCATCCTGGGTAAGGAAGGTTCCTAGGAAACCCTAGTGGAGACTGGCCACTTTTTGCACCTCACCGATTGGGTTGGGGGGAGCGGTGGGGGAAGAGAATGGGCCATGATTAAACATGTTCAAAATTGTTTGATTGACGGTCCCTTTTTTCGTTGTGGTTAATATCATGTACAGACTTGTGAACAAAAGCAGTTCTGAAAGCAGGCCACTAGGAAATGTGAGGCCAGAGTTACAAATCTCGGGGCTTGAAGTGGGTGATTCCCAATGATACCCAAGATATGCTGCCGTTTTCTTGTCTTGTTCTTTTAAACACCGTCCAACAGGCAGCCTCCAAGTTTATTTTACACCTTCAAGTGGGCCTATGGGCTTTCAGAACCAGGGACGTTGGTGATGGTTGGTTTTCTTTGTGGCGTTTGACCACATCCTTCAAACGAGCCCCTGTTGTCGCACACCCATTGCCAGCTTACATAACGTTTGTGCCTTTTTGGTTTTCCTTGATTTTCCCTTTCCACTTGCCTTTTTGGTTTTCCTTTGTTGTCCTTTTGGTTTTCCCCGATTTTCCTTGGTAGTGCTTTCCACGGAACCATTCACCGGACATCGGCCGCAACGCCCGGCTCTTTGCGGAGAAAGGTGGCGACGCTGCGCCGAGAAGTGGACTTTCTGCTGGAGTGCCTAGGCACCTCCGCCTGGCAAGCGGGAGGATTGGCCGTTTTTATTTGTTTTTTATTTGTTCTTTCTTTTCCGGGACATGAGAACTTGTTCCTTTAGGGGGAGGGGGTTTTAGAGGACACCAAAGGAACACCGCTCATATAAGTTTCGTTTGGTTGCTTCAAACAACCACTCAAGGGCCTTTTTTTTCTTTTTTCGTGTTGGCGATTGGAACCCACCCATTCGGACACACTGCTGCATACCTTGGCTTGCGATTTCCTTTGAAACGCGACTAGGGGGATGCCGTGTTTGAGGAGCTGGCGATTGTCTAAGTATTGGCATTCCATTGCCCACTCGTTATCGGCATCGATGCTGGGAGTGTAGCCCAGACCAATGTTACCAACAGGAATGACCTTCCCCTTATGCCCAGAAAAGAAAGCATTATTCTGGATGCCAAGCAGCACGTCCTTTCGAGTTCCCTTTGAGGACATGCGAGTGGATGTTTGCTTTGCACGCCCAACCAACTTGGAGTCTTTGGTTTCAGGTTTTTCAGCCCAATCTGTGCGCACAGGCGATGACATCGAGAAGGTGCCGGAGGCTTTGCATAGCGCCGGTTTTGAGCTCGCAGCTTCGATCCACGTTGCGCTAGGCATCTTTTTTTGGCCTGCAAGGAGAGTCCGAGACGAGAAGGCGAGAGAGCAAGGCGAGAGAGCCAGAAAGAGCAACTAAGTTGCTCATTCCACATTCTTCCAGAAAAGCAAGCTCCTAGCAGACCTTCAAGTTCTTGAAGGTCTGCTAGGAGGTTGTTTTTTCTGGAAGAGTGTGGAATGCTCCTGTGGGGACGGCAGGTGCAAACTGTTTTTCGATGCCCAGGTCGGTGGGGGAGTTTCGACGGAGGCTGGAGCGGGCGCGGGCCCACAGTGAGAGGATGGGGTGGTTTTTTGCGCCTGGACGGCTAAAGTGAGAGTTCCATATCAAGGAGAGAATCGTCACAGGTTTGGTGAGGTGGAAGATCTTCCCAGCTTTCATTGAAGATGCTCCCAGCCCAAGCCTTGTGTTGGCTGGCATGGAACCCATCCCTTGGCGGTTTTGGGCTCTGGTGAGGTTAACAGATCTTATTATTGAGTATATAACGGACGTTTGCCTGCGTCACAGTATCAAACAATACATTTTTGCTCCGTGACAGATCGCGAGGCACGGTTGCTCCCCCAACTGGATTGCTCCTCCAACATGGAAAGCTAGAGTCTGGAGAAGCGAAGCGAGAAGCCACGAGAGCCGATTGTGCTCCTTCGTTGATGTCTCCAACTCAAGCACCTCTCACATGACTCCAGACCTCTACTGGATTGAGTTGTTTGTTCCTTT